GTCTCAACAAGTCAAGAGCAATAGTAGTTGCTTTACCTGAGGCTTCCTTCAAGTCACTTGACAAGCTAGAAAACTTACTGCTGGTTAATTCACCTGTTTGATCAACAACTGAAAATACTCTACCAAAAGCATTATTTATTGCTTCAGAAGCACTTTCAGTGATGGGAGTTATAGATGAAGTAACTTTCTCTAGTGAGCTTTTGATAACACTGTCTCCTTCATTTACTGAAGAATTGAAGGACTCATTAACAACAGAAAGAAAATCGACAAGACTGGATTTTGCACTAGATATTGAATCATCATCAATGTTCAGGGAGCCAGATACTGAAGTGGGATTCTCAGATGTCACATCAACAGTTGAGATGGTTTCAGGTTGAATAGCTTGTATCAAATCATTGGAATTTCCAGCTGACTGTTTTGTGAAATCCACCACCTCCTCTTCTGCAGAGGTAAGAGTAGAATCTACATATTTCAGTTTCCCACTTGATGCTGTCTGTGCTTCATTTACTGCTTCAACTGTGTAACTCCATCCATTAGAGAAGTTGCATTCAATGTCCTTTAATTTGTCTTGGCATGAATGACCATTAATTTGATCAACAGATAATGATTGATTGGAACTGCTGATAAAATTGGAGTAGATAGACTTCATAGCTTTTGTTTTAAAGGAAACATTCTGGAGGTGGGTTCTTGTTGACAAGGACAAAACAGACTTTTCCTCCAAAATGCATCTGGACTGGAAATCCTTCCACAATGGGGTACAGGGTCGAAAACCTCCATGGACTGGAATCTGCAGAAGTGACAATTCCACATACATGAACGAATTACTTCTCAATAGACAGAAAAGAAAAAAAATGATTATTTTAAAGATGTGCTAAGAATCAGTAAAAATGTATATTACAGAAAAGAATGAATACCTACTATGACAAATAATAAGTTTTAGAATGCTAACCTATACTACAAGCAATGCATTTATATATATTTTCCCCATATGCAAAATGGTTTGGAAAATGATCAGGAATCAAAAGGGAAACCTTTAATGTTGTCAAACCAAAGTTTCATAAATACAACCCTAATATAGACAAAGGATTCTAAACACTCAAACTGATTGAATGAATCATAAGAGTTTTACACAACCTAAACTAAACTTAATAAAAAAAGAGCCTTCTCAGCCTAAGAAAATTCAAAAATTAAAACTTCAAAATTACCATCTCCAAAGAAAAAAAAGGGAGCAGTATGTTGTAGCCATAGAAATTGAAATCTTTGGAAATTCCCCTAACCAGAGAAGTAAGAAGCCAATCTCACCTGTGAATGTGATGAACAGCATGAGGTTGCTGAGCAGACAGCAAACATTGTTCACGTTGATCCACAAAACCAACTGCTAACATTCACCAAACTTTCATCTTGTCTAAAAACAGAGACAACGACCACTGAAAAATCAATTTTCATAAAGTAAGATCATCCAGAAAACAGAAGCTAAGTTTAGGCAAATATCCATCTTATTGGTTCACGAACCAAAGCTAAGTTTTTTTTTTTTTTTTAATCAATATGAACTAAAAAGCTCCAAAGCTAAGTTGAAGCCAGAAAAAAGTTAAAAAAAGAAAAGAAAAAAAAAAAGACAACAACATCATTAAGTGACGCAAGCAAACTAGTCAAACAGTGTCAATACTTATAACTTCCGGAAAAACTAAAATTAAGGCCTTTGTCTCGTCCCAGCAAAATAGAACATACTCTGTGACACAATGAAGCAATGGCACAAATGAACCAAAAAAAAATGCATCAAAATAAAACCAACCCATAATGAACAACATCAAATCTTCAAGTGGGTTTCCTCCAATTCAATCTCTAATGCAAATCCATACCCTAATTGTTCATGGAAACTGAGCTTAATGAACATAATAAACATTAACCCATCTCTTACCCGGAAATAATTACAGAAAATCGATAAAGAATCTAACTTTACGAGCAGAAGGGTGATTGAATCGAAGAAGAAGGAAATGCCTATATATATTTGACAATGGAGAATCGTGTGGCTTGTTGAATCCGTTAGCTTCATCTCTTTGGCTCTTCTTTGCCTCTCGTTTGCTCTGTGGTGACCAACATCCGATTTGCTGTCCTTTTCCTCCTCTCTTCAACATTGCCCCCTGTAGTTTTGTCTATTTCGAATTCAGTCCCCATTCTTCTCCAAAATCTCAGTTCGTCCCCATGTCCCCATGTTGAGATGGCGCCATGTGATTGCCTAGTACTTCCTGTACCCTGCCGTAGGAGACCTCCATTTCTTCTTCTTCATCTTCTCCACTCTCCGGCATTCTGATTCTCGCCGTTTCTCTAGCATGTTCCAACTTTCAGGTCAGTTCATTTACTTCTCTTTCCATTTTTAGATTTTATACATTCATGTTCTCACCGGATATCTTTTGAATTAAAGCTTTGATTGGTGAAATCTGAGTTTAGTTGATCTAAACCCCCAAATTTGTTTCCGCTTTATCACATTTTTGCTTCGCTTTTATAAAGATCTCAAAAATGGTAGAATTGCCTACTAATGAAGGATAAAGTGAGATTATGATGTTTATTACGGATCTAGATTTGAACATTTGGCTTATTTTTAGAAACGAGTCATTTAGCCGAGGTTTTTGTATACTTCTGCTTAATTTTTTGGTTAAATCTATACATAAAGAGAGGATTTTGAACCTTTTCTTTTGCTTTAATTGTTCTTGATCGGATAATTGATTAAGCCCCTCGGGGATTGTAGGCCTTGGGGACTTGAGGAACTGTTAATCTGGCTTGGTTGGAGGGCATGGAATCACCTGGTCACATTTAGGAATGACTCCATTTGGTTAAACGTGCCTGCTTGAGTCAAGTTTTATTTGTGGCTGATAATGGCAGGTTCATCTGCAAGCGGTGATTCAAGAAACACATCTGTGGTGGTTGTTACTCTGAATACGGGTGAAGTATATATTGCTGTGAGCTTGTCCACAAGGGTTGACACTCAAGTGATTCATGTTGATCCAACAACTGGGTTGCTTCGTCATCATGGGAAGTTTGGTTTAGATGTTTTTAGGTGTGAAAATGACACTTTAGATTATGTTACAAATGGTTCACCAGGGCAGTGTGAGAGTAGGATTCATGCCAGAGCAATATTGGGGTATGCTGCCCTGGGAGGGTTTGGGTTGCTTCTTGTCGCCACAAAGTTATTTGCCAGTATCGATAGTCTTCCTGGTGGAGGGTGTGTCTATACTGTCACAGAGAGCCAGTGGATCAAAGTAACACTTCAGAATCCTCAACCCCAGGGTAAGGGAGAAGTGAAAAATGTTCAAGAGTTCACTGAGCTTGACATTGATGGAAAGCATTATTTTTGTGAGACAAGGGATATCACTCGTCCTTTTCCAAGTCATATGCCCTTGGGCAAGCCTGATAAGGAATTTGTCTGGAATGGGTTTCTTTCAATGCCTTTTGAAAATATTGGGCTTCTGCAGCACTGTGTCATTCTTCTGCAGGTTTTGCTTCATACTTGGTATCTTCATGTTTGTGCCATCCAATATCTTTCTAAATATCTTGTTGCAAGATGCTCTATTTTGTGGCATGTCATGTCATTCCTGATGAATTTCTCTCTTCATGTAAAGCTGTGTGCATATGCACATGCACATGCATGGTATTGATAGCAAACTTCAAATTATTTGATGAAAGATTGTAAGATTATAATAAAATGGATTGGCTTTTTATGTGGCAAATTTTCCAACACCATGAGGAAGTCTGCATGAACTAGTATCATTGGTTTGCCAGACCAATTATTCAATAGTTTTAATATGTACAGGGCTTTGCAGAATGTCGAAGTTTTGGTAGTTCAGGTCAGATAGAAGGAATGGTTGCTGTCACAGCTCGTCGAAGTAGGCTTCATCCTGGTACTCGATACTTGGCCAGGGGGTTAAATTCATGTTTTAGCACTGGTAAGATAAGCTTTTAATGTTCTCTAAGATAGGATTGTACCAGTTAATTGCCATGCTAAGGATTATTTTAGGTTTCCTTTAAGAGCTAGCTATTTCACATCCCTATCATAACTGCTCCTCTCATAGTTTATTTCGTTCATGCCTTTATCGTGTTGCTTAACATTTTCACATTTCTATTTTTTTTTTAATTGGCAAAATAATAATTTTGTTATTAAGAGTACAGGAAGTACTTCAACTCATTACATCCTTTTCACATTTCATGTTATTTTATGTACAAGTAAAATTCTCATCTATAAAGTTTTTATTTTGATTTCATTATATTTTTTTGTACATTTATTGCATATCTCTTCTGCCCTTTTCTTCTTTTTTGTTATATATGGCTTGAATATTCCTGTAACTTAAAAGAATCACATATGACAGGGAATGAAGTAGAGTGTGAGCAACTTGTATGGATTCCTAAAAGAGCTGGTCAGAGTGTTCCTTTCAACACATACATTTGGCGAAGGGGCACAACACCAATCTGGTGGGGAACAGAGCTGAAGATGACTGCTGCAGAGGCAGAAATATATGTTTCAGACAGGGATCCTTACAAGGGAAGCCCACAGTACTATCAACGACTGAGTAAGCGATATGATGCTTGTAATTTTGATGTCGCTATTGGGGAAAATCAGAAGAAAAAGGCTGTTGTTCCAATTGCGTGCATCAACTTGCTACGAAATGGAGAAGGAAAATCTGAATGCATTTTAGTTCAGCATTTTGAGGAATCTTTAAACTATGTTCGTTCAACTGGGAAACTTCCTTATACTCGAATTCATTTAATAAATTATGACTGGCATGCCAGCATAAAATTGAAAGGTGAATGGCAAACAATTGAAGAATTATGGAAACTTCTAAAAGGACCCACGTTAGCTATAGGTATTTCTGAAGGGGATTATTTGCCTTCACGACAACGGCTTAAGGATTGCAGAGGTGAAATCATCTACAACGATGACTTCAATGGTGCCTTCTGCTTAAGATCACATCAAAATGGTGTAATTCGTGTCAATTGTGCTGATTCTTTGGATCGAACAAATGCTGCAAACTACTTTGGTGCCCTCCAAGTTTTTGTTGAGCAGTGCAGACGGCTAGGGATATCACTTGATAGTGATCTGGCATGTGGTTATCAGTCTGTTGATAAGTATGAAGGATATACAGCTCCACTTCCACCTGGCTGGGAGAAACGATCTGATGCAGTAACAGGGAAAACATATTATGTTGATCACAATACTAGGACCACAACATGGAATCATCCATGTCCAGATAAACCATGGAAGAGATTTGACATGACATTTGAGGACTTCAAAAGCTCAACAATTTTATCACTGGTATCTCAGCTAGCAGATCTTTTCCTAATTTCTGGTGATATCCATGCTACTCTTTACACTGGTTCCAAAGCTATGCATAGCCAAATTCTTAGTATATTCAATGAAGAATCAGGAAAATTCAAACAATTTTCTGCAGCACAAAATGTAAAAATCACCCTGCAGAGGAGATATAAAAATGCATTTTTTGATAGTTCTCGTCAAAAGCAATTGGAGATGTTCCTTGGAATGAGGCTCTTCAAGCATCTGCCATCTATTCCTCTTCAACCTCTAAATGTATGTGTTATAGCAGATAAGCTGTTATATGCAATGGTAGTCAATTCCTTTTTCACATGCTTAAGCTACTTTTATGGGCTTTATGCACTTGTAGCAACTTTATTACTTTCTACATGTTATCCCACATCAATATAAGACCACTGTGAAGCCCCAAATATAATTGATGTGTGATATTATCTTTTTCTTCTGTGTGTCTTTTCTCTCAAATTTTGTTATTCAATGCATTTGTTCAATGTGAAATTGCTGGTTCTTTGTAATAGTTTCTTTGTACTAACTCTCCTAAGCCCACTGCTGCATAAATATAGGTGGTATGTGCATGAACATCTATGTAATTGGGCACTGGGATAGTAACAGGATAGTTGATTCATATTAGCTGGATTCAGTCTTGAGACTTTTCATTCAGAGAATAGTATTTTCATTTTTCTCCTCCTTGAGCACTTGTCATCACCTATTGACAACAAATTATCCCTTTTCCTTTTCACCTGCTATATGATTCATAGTTAAAACCAACCTTCCATTTGAGGACAAAATCTTTTTGAATTCATTATTTAGATGCATCAATCTATCATTAAATGTCATATTAATTGTTGCAGGTACCATCCAGACCGTCTAGTTTCTTTCTGAAGCCCGTTGCAAACATTTACCCAAGTTCTGATGGTGGAGCTAGTCTTCTCAGTTTCAGGAGAAAAGATCTAACTTGGGTACTTGAACAGTTTTCTTTCTATACTCAAGGGAAATAATATTGCTAATAAGAATTGCTTTTATGGTTCATTATTCTTTTATGTATATTATTGGGATTGGAAGATGTTTTTTGTTCACCTCCCCTTTAAATCTTTTTTTTTTTTCTTTTTATCCTTCTTTCATTTTCGAATACTTGCACTTTATGTCCCACAGGTTTGTCCTCAGGCAGATGTGGTCGAACTTTTTATTTATCTCAGTGAGCCTTGTCATGTCTGTCAGTTGCTGCTTAAGGTATCACACGGTGCAGATGATTCAACATATCCATCAACTGTTGATATCAGAGCAGGACGCTACTTGGATGGGCTTAAACTGGTTGTAGAGGTCTGTAAAGGTCTATTATGTCATCCTGCATCCCAAATTGTTCAAACATGTTGCCCATTTTTGTAAGTTAACTTTGTGTCGTAATATTGTAGTTTAATGCATAAACCTCATAATTTCATAAATATTTGTTAATATAAAGTTCCCAAGCAACCTTATGTGCTACACCAGGAGGTTCGACACTACACCATGTTTCGAAACCTTTCTGTCATAAAAGTTTGCTTTATTGTCATACTGCTCCCATTAATTTCCAACAACATTGCGCCTCAGATTCCTGTAGCTTAATGCATCAACCTTGAATTTATCTATTAACTTTTGTCACCAGCAATGCACAAGATCAAAAGGTTTGGCATTTAGTTGTTAGACTCATGTCCTTAATTTGAACCATCACTCCATTTCTTTTTTTTTTTTAAATGGGCATCCTACACACTTAGAAAATTGCCTACAAGACTCTCATTACTCATTAGACTCTATTCAGAAGATAAAGATAAAAGGTTTTTTTCGTAATATTCATATATCTATATGGATATAAAGATTTTGTTCTTAATATAGTTGTAGGCCCCATGAACTATCATAACTATTCCAACCTCATGCTTTTAGTACCATTGATTGTAAGACTTGTTATTTGGTCTCCTGGACTTTTTTGGTTTACCCCATCCTCTCCCCATGAGGTTGTTGTCAAATTACCTTGTTTCTGATGCTGTTTTTGGACTTGTCCACAGGGTGCTTCTATACCTCAGTGTGCAAATGGGACAAACCTTTTGATACCATTACCAGGACCAATTAATGCAGAGGATATGGCCATTACTGGAGCTGGTGCATGCCTTCATGATCAAGTTACGTCTACCACTTCCTTGTTGTATGATTTTGAAGAATTGGAGGGAGAATTGGACTTCCTAACACGCATTGTGGCACTCACGTTCTATCCTGCTGGTTCTGGAAGTAGTCTCATGACTCTTGGTGAGGTAGAAAGCAATTCCCAGAAATGCTTTGCTTGGTGCATCATATGTCCATCAGTCTTGACTTAACAGCTAATCACCAAGGGGTGTCTTTGGTTTCCATATGCATATGGATTGCTCAATTAACAACCAAGTGAATTGAATGTATATTTTAGGAATTGGATGTCTCAAAGATTCAGTAAATGGAGTTACTGGGGTTTGAAAGGTCTCTTTTGATTTTGTTTGTGTATTAGAGTAGGACATTTCTCTCCTTAGTGTTGTGTTGTTCTCTAAAAGGTGTACAGTTTTTCTTATGTTGTTTGATATCCTTTTTTTCTTTATTTTGGGTGGTGGGATTTGCTTTGATGCTACTGGATAATTTCTAATATGCAGTAAATTTCATCACAGGTAGAGATCCTTGGAGTTTCTCTTCCGTGGACTGGAATATTTACTAATAAAGGTCCTGGTGCCAGATTAAATGAGCTGGTGAAGAATGTTCAGAAACAAACCGGCTCTCTTTTGACTAGTTCTGATGCAAACCCATTTTATGGTTCTTCTTTACCAGATGAAGTTCCCTCAAAATCAGTTCAAGTCTCATCTACTAACAATTTGGTTGATCTATTAACTGGAGAGAAAATGATTTCTGATTCTGTTTCTCAACCAATTAGTGAAAACGTCATTAATGAGGGAGGTGAATTGCTTGATTTCCTTGACCAAGCTGTTGTTGAATATCGTCATCCCAAAAACAATAACTATAAATCATTAGATGCAAGGCCTCAGGATAGTGGTGCCCAGCAATACATTAATATTATGAAATCCCTTGTTGAACCATATAAGGTATGTTAGTTCCTCTCTCCTTTATGTTTTTTCAGTTAATATGTTCCTTATTTCCTTTATCTATAAAAACACATGCTGAGTAGTCATTTTCTCAAGTGTAGGTCTGCATTGTTTGTTTTGCCTTTTCTGTCTTACATAGTAAAATAATAATCCTACATTAATGGTAAATACATACGTGATGGCCCTAGAAAAAGCATAGTAAGTAGGTTTTTGAACAATTATCCTGGTGGGAACAATCATCAAACCAATTAGACATCTGTTTAATATCTAGTTGGTTCAAGTGTTAGATTGTGGTTTAAAGGTTGGGTTATTAGTAATTCAATGATAAATGTCAAAAATAATTTTAATTCCCAGCTCCTATAGTGTTTAGCCTTTTTTCCTGATAATTATATTTATATTTTGAAAAAAATTTCTAAAAGGTTGCAACTCTAGATAGAAATTATATGAGACTAAAACTCTAAAGTTAGAATACCAATAATCTCTAAAGAGAAGAAAAAAAGTGTAGGGTTAAATTACTTGATGCAGAAAACAACAAAAAGTGATCCTCAAAAAGCCAGATACTGTCTCTGTAACTGAATGTTTTGTCCCATTGGAAGCAATAAAATTCCATCCTTAAACCACCAGGGGGGAAGGGGTGTGGGGGGGTTTATGCATCCACCCATTTAATGCCACGCCATGATTGTAAGCTGACAATCCTATGTGGCATTGGAACTATAGCATTGCCACTACCATTATGGATTCCACGTCCTATTTACTTTAGTTTAAACGTCAAATCCAGATTACAGGTGCCAAATGCAAAAATCATTAATTGCTTCCTTTTTGGTGAGATTCCATATTACTCTTAGCCATTTTTTTTTACCAGTTACTCTTCACCATTTGAGCTATCTATATACCATATGGAGATTTTTTTTTTTTTTTTCCTGAATGGAGATTTTTTTTTTTATGAGAAAGCTATAAATAAGAGCAACAGTATATAGCATTATAAAGGCTTGTGTGTATTCCACAACTAATGATTATGAAAGATTAAGATGATCAATTGATGAGTTGCATATGATAATTTGTTACTTGATCAAATACAAAATTAACCTCCTTAGGATTTATTTCAATTTTTCAGGATAGAGAACTAAATTTCACAGAGGCATTGAAACTAGAAATTGAACGTCTACAGCTGAATCTTTCAGCAGCTGAAAGAGATAGAGCTTTGTTGTCCGTTGGAACTGATCCTGCTACTATAAATCCAAACTTCCTAATTGATGAGTCATACAGGGGGAGATTATGCAGAGTTACAAGCACCCTTGCATCACTGGGGCAAGGTGCACTCGAAGACAAGATTAATGGTGCAATTGGTCTAGGAAATATTAATGATAGTGTAGTAGATTTCTGGAATGTTACTGTAATTGGGGAGAATTGTTCTGGTGACATGTGTGAAGTGTGTGCTGAGACTAAGGCAACTGCATCTGCATCCTCTAAGGTGTCATCTACAGGAGCTACAAAGTCTATCTTTTTATGTTCTAATTGTGATAGGAAGGTTTGTAAAACTTGTTGTGCTGGGAAAGGTGCTCTTCTTCTTACCAATTATAGTTCAAGGGAGGCTACAAATTATAATAGTTTGTCTAATCAGGGTGGCTCAAGCCATGGCAGCCAAGTTGACCTCTCTGCAGATCATTCAATGGCAATGGATGATGTTGTTTGTAAACAGTGCTGCCAAAACATCATTCTTGAGGCTTTGATTGTGGACAATGTCCAGGTTTTGACTAGCTTGCGAAGAAGAGCACGTGCTGATGGTGCAGCACATAAAGCTTTAGACCAGGTTGTAGGATCCTCCCTTTTTTCTGACAGGAATCATTCCTCTGACAGTCAGCAAAATGCTATTGTGCTGAAACAATTGCTTGGTGAGGAGGAATCACTTGCTGAATTTCCATTTGCCAGCTTTCTACTCCCGGTAATATTTTGGTTTATATTAAGGTCCAGAATTTCAATCATTCACGTTGCATTATATCATTTTTTTCATTGATGTAACATCTGGATAAGTTGATATTGGTGGCTCTTATAACATTCAAATTTATTTCAGGAAAGAAAGGCTTTTATGTAGAAAACGAATACATTGGATGAAAAGAATATGTGTGTTATAACTTATAAGCCTGATCATAAATTTGTCAAATTGCATACTGCAAGAATTTATCATTCCTAACTTATAGAGAATTACGTTGTAAAAATGGTATTTATTTTATTTTAGCATCTAACCAATTATCATGAAATTGTAGGTTGAAACAGCACCTGATTCAGCACCACTCTTATCACTTCTTGTTCCACTGGACTCTGGACCACAACACTCATATTGGAAAGCTCCTCGTGATACTGCTAATGTTGAATTTGCTGTTGTCCTTGGCACCCTTTCAGATGTCAGTGGGGTCATCTTGCTTGTTAGTTCATGTGGTTATTCAGACTCTGATGCTCCTGCTGTGAGTGCATCTATATTCTTGTCACATTTCTTGTACAAATAGAAGTAGGTTTTGGGGAAAGTGGATTTAGTGCCTTATATAAGGCTGAATGGTTTTTTAGAATAAATTTCTTTTTAAATTCTTTTTGTGCATGATTTCTTGCAATCCATTTCATTATCAACCACATCTTACCATGCTAGGATAGTACCTTTTCTGATATGCATTAAATAAGTGCTCATGAATCATTTTAACTGCTGGGTGCTTGCCAGCTGAAATTATAAATAACCTGCAACTCAAAGTATATACTTTTCAATAGTTACGATGTTGTCATACATACCCATCACCTTGATAACTTGATGACTGTTATACAAACTATTCAACCTAAAACCTTAGGCTGCTAAGTGAGACTGAAAATGGCTTTTATTTTCCAGCAGTCCTCTTTGCTTATTTTCAGAGATGATAGATACAGAAGTTGCATTTGTTGTTATGCTGGCAGCTTCCAATTTTGTTTTGCTCTAAAGTTTCTTTTTTCTGCAATGGTCCCTTGTTTCATGGGCCTTAGGTTTCTTTTCCTCTTTTCTGATTAACAACTAATTATACATATTAAGTTTACAACTTTCTTGTGACACAATCTGGTCTTCTGTTTTCATGCAGGTGCAAATATGGGCCAGCAATAAAATAGACTGGGAAGGGCGGTCGTGCATAGGAAAATGGGATGTCCAATCACTCATTGTATCTTCCTCAGAGCTTTGTGGGCCAGAAAATTCAACAACAAGGGATCAGATACCACGGCATGTAAGATTTACTTTCAGGAATCCTGTTAGATGCCGCATCATTTGGATAACACTTCGCCTTCAGAGGCCTGGTTCAAGCTCCGTTAATATTGAGAAGGACTTTAATTTGTTGTCTTTCGATGAAAACCCCTTTGCACAAGTAAATAGACGTGCCTCTTTTGGAGGAACAGTTGAAAATGAGCCATGCCTCCATGCAAGACGAATTATGGTAGTCGGAAGCCCAGTGAGAGAAGAGTTGGAGCTTACACCATCACAAAGCTCTGATCAGTTGAAATTTGGAAGCTGGTTGGAGCAACCTCCACAGTTAAATAGATTCAAGGTGTAATTTTTGCTTCTTTTTTTTGTGAATACATAAATTTAGTTAGCTCTTGAAGTTTATGCTGTCTGTATTACCTCAATTTACCCATGTTTCCCTCTCAGGTTCCAATTGAGGCTGAAAGGCCAATAGACAATGATCTTGTCTTGGAACAGTATCTGCCTCCTGCTTCACCATCGCTTGCTGGATTTCGTCTAGATGCCTTCTCTGCTATAAAACCTCGAATTACCCATTCACCACCTTCAGGAGCAGATATCTGGGACACATCAATAACATTTCTAGAAGACAGACACATATCCCCACCCATTCTCTATATACAAGTATCCACAATCCAGGTAGAAATCACACTAGAGCAGATTCTCAACATTTCATTTCATCCACAGCTATAAATATGACCAACTTCTATGGCCTTGGGTCTTTGCCTCTATTCTATTAATGACAATATGTTGAGCTTAGTGTTGCACAATTAATTCATCTTTCATGGGAACTCATTGTAAACAATAATTTCACAGGATGGACACAACATGATGACTATAGCAGAGTACAGATTGCCAGAGGCAAAGCCAGGAACAGCTTTGTACTTTGACTTCCCAAAACAGATACAAGCGAGCAGAATCTGTTTCAAACTTCTAGGAGATGTTGCTGCATATGCTGATGACCCAGCAGAACAGGATGATTCTGGTTTCAAGCCATTGGCTGCAGGGTTGTCTCTGTCAAATAGAATTAAGTTGTATTACTATGCTGATCCTTACGAGCTTGGAAAGTGGGCTAGCCTTTCAGCAATTTGACATTGGATTATTTGCAGAGGATTGGTTTGGATTTTGAGTTTTTGCATCCATATTCTTGGTTGTATAGTATTATAATGTATCAATATTACATTCATTGTTTGGAGTAATAATAACATCTATTATGATTATTGTTTAGTTTTTTTAATTTATTTTTATGATCATGGTATTCGTGAGCTCAGTTTTGCACCTTTCAAACTAATGTCTCTTAAACGATTTTAAAGACGCACCTCCATATTAACCTCATTACATGTGAATCTAAAGTTGGTACTTTTTTAATCATCAAAACAAATTGTCCATTGCCAGATTGAAGTCATTGAACTGGTTTGCATGAGGCCCATGGTTGAATTGGACTGAAAAGAAAAGTCCCTTTTAGGCCCAGAAAAGAGTTTCGAAATATCCGGGCCGAATCAGGCACGGTCCATGGACTCAAAACTTGTCTAAAGTTAACTCCGCATTAACAAAGGCACCAAATTTACGAAAATGCCATTATAATTCAACAAAACCCTAGACAAATCTCAGCCGTCGATCATGCCCTGCCAAGATCACTCCCTAGGGTTTATAATCCGAAGCCCCTTTACATCTTCTCTCTTCGCTTCTTTCCACTGCCGTCTCTTTCGTCATCTTACAGATCGGAGCTTCAGCCATGGTGAGTCTCACAGTCCCCTTCACTACTCATACATCTTCATTGATAAAATGTTGGAATGGAATATGTACTCCGGTTATGTTTTCTCTGTGTTAAAGCTACCTAAATGGGTTCTGCTCAATCATTTATAAGGTTGATGGTAGTAGCAATTAGAGTAGACTTAGCTGTTAGTTAATGGTGAATCATGTTTTGTTCTGTGTAGGCTTAAAAGGGTTTGTTTGTGAACCTGGATAAGAGTGTAAAAATATAATCTTTCGAGAAATTATGCATTTTAGTTTTTCTGCCTAGTTATGCTTGATTTGTTTGACTGTGGTTGTTGATTCTATGGTTATAGTGGTAGGTAGTATTCATGCTGTTATGATGGTTCATTTTTAATTTTTTTGATATATGATATGTGATCCTGTTAAAGGATGTGATTGCTTTTGCTTTATAAGATCTGAATTGGGTGTGTTGTTTTGATTCAGGCCTTTGTCAAGGCTCAAAAAACCAAGGCCTATTCCAAGCGGTTTCAGGTCAAGTTCAAGAGAAGGAGAGGTATTCTATTTGTGTTTTGTTAGCTTAGTTAGATATCCTTATTTGAGTTTTGTGTTCTTCTTATTTATATTGTCTTTTGTTGAATGTTTATGCAGAGGGAAAAACTGACTATAGGGCTAGAATTCGCCTGATTAATCAGGACAAGAACAAGTATAACACTCCAAAGTATCGCTTTGTTGTCCGATTTACTAACAAGGATATTATTGCTCAAATAGTATCTGCTAATATTGCTGGTGATATGGTTCTTGCTGCTGCTTATTCCCATGAGCTACCTAATTATGGGCTTGAAGTTGGTCTTACAAACTATGCTGCTGGTATGTTGTTTTGTATATGAATCTCTCTTTTTGGATGATAATTTCTCATGCAGTTTCATTGTTTACTTACCTATATGTGTGGAATGGTGGTTAGCTTATTGTACTGGTTTGCTGTTGGCTCGTCGTGTCCTGAAAATGCTTGAAATGGATGATGAGTATCAGGGCAATGTGGAGGTATAACATCTGAATTATATCGAGCTCAAGCATTAGTTGAAAGAAAAATGTTGTTTTCACTAAATTGTCTTCCTAATGTAAGGTCTTTGTGATACCAGGCCACTGGAGAGGATTTCTCAGTTGAGCCAACTGAAAGCAGGAGGCCGTTTCGTGCTCTCCTTGATGTTGGGCTGGTTAGGACAACTACTGGGAACAGGGTTTTTGGTGCTCTTAAGGTATTTTTTTTTATATTGCTCTCAGAATCCGTTTCATGCTTTGCAACTGGTGCTAGTTTGAACTGCACTACTGAAATATGAAACTCTCTAGTCAGAAAATGTTTTGATTTTGGTTGTGATCTTAGGGTGCTTTGGATGGTGGATTGGATATTCCTCACAGTGACAAGAGGTTTGCCGGCTTTGGAAAAGAAAGCAAGCAGCTTGATGCTGAGGTTCACTGCAAGTACATTTATGGTGGCCATGTTGCTGCATATATGAGAGTAAGGACACAAATCCGAATTCTATTTCTCAAGGATAATCAGCTTGCCTGGTTCATTTTATGGAATTAGTGAAAATTAAGAGGAAAATTACTCTAAAACTAGGTTGTTTTAACTTTAAAATAGGGTATTTTAGTCCTTTTTAATAGGATTTATTGAAATGTAGTAGTTTTTTGGGGTAATTTTTCTCCTAATTTTTGGAAGGTAAGGTGGATAGGCACTTTTCCCTAATTTTATATGCATTGATATCTTTCTCCTTTATGGCAACTTAGTTATGTAAATTTTTTATAGACCTTGATGGAAGATGAGCCAGAGAAGTATCAATCTCACTTCAGCGAGTACATTGAAAGAGGAATTGAGGCTGATGATGTTGAGGCACTGTACAAGAAAGTGCATGCTGCCATCCGTGCTGACCCAACTACTAAGAAGTCTGAGAAGCAGCCTCCAAAGGAGCACAAGAGGTATGGCCCATGACCAATTGACATGTGGTTCTATTGCTCTTACCTGGTGGATCTGTAAATATTTCAACTTTGTTTGCATTTTCCTAACAGGTACAACTTGAAGAAACTCACATATGAGGAGAGAAAGGCTAAATTGATCGAACGATTACGTGCCCTGAACTCAGCCGCTGCTGACGTTGATGAGGAGGAAGAGGAAGATGAAGATGAAGATTGAATGTAGCATTCAAGCTCAAATCAACTTGTCTTTTTCATTACATGCACTCCTAGTTGAACCTTGTCCGTTACTTAAATTTTTGGGCGATTTTGCTGTTTCTGAGTGTTAAACTTTTAGGTGGTGCAAAAAAATATTGGATGTTTGGAATTCAGTTTTTTTCACTATATGGAATTTCAGTTTTTTGGTTCAAGGGGTTAACAGGCCATTATGTTTTCCACTTTCGATTTCAATCAGAGCTCTGGCCAATGAGGTTCTCAAAAGATGTTTTTACAATCTCTCTTAAGAAAAAAAAATGAAGAAGCTATTCTCCACGCATGAATGGCTGGAATTAATTTTCTGAGACCCAAAAATTTTTTCAGGAAAATATTAGACTCTCCTGTATTTGCTGACTGGTGTCCGAGGGACCAAAGAATATGCCTTAACAGAGCTGGAGTTTTAAGAAGAGGGAGGTCCACAAAAATAGAAGCTTATCATGTTTCAACCAATAGATTTTCACATCTCTTGACTCTAAACCTCCAAACACTATCCCTTAACAATCTCATCCTACATCACAATTTGACTTGAAGGATGGTTTGGCTCTCATTTATACCTGAATTCAAACAGCCCCATTGAGAGATCATGGCTCATTCACTAACCCCAGCACCAGTGGCCGCTGCAACGACATCCATTGCCAAACCTGAGAAAACATCACATATTCTTTCTTTAGGGCTGCAAGGAGTTCAAACTTCCCTTCAAATATCCCAATCCCATGAGACGTTGGATCTTAAAATTGTCCATCGCAGGTTTGTAATGTTGTTTATTATGTGTTGTTATGGCAAATTTTGATACCGTGCGTCTGCATTGAGGCTTGATATGTAGTAGCAAAGCATAATGTGTTGAAGGGTTCATGTTGCAAGCAGGACTGTGAGCCTGGGATTGGCCGGTGCAGTGCTAGGCTGGAATGTCAGTGACCGCAGTGCGAATGCGGCTAGAAAGCCACCACCCCAACCACCAGAGGAGAAGAAGGATCCCAGTCTGAGTGGTGTTCAGGCAAAGGTGCTAGCTAGTAAGAAGAGGAAGGAAGCTATGAAACAAGCTATGGCCAAGCTAAGAGAAAAAGGGAAGCCCCTAAATGAGCCATCAGAGTAGATTGATGCATCAATATTTTTATCAATGTGGCATAAATGTACATGTCTTGAGAGCAAAAATTATTCTGTTACCACTGCTACTCAAATGACAACTACTATTATCTCGGCTTTTCGTCCTCTTTTAACCATTTGCTTTCCAAGCAAATGGCTTCCATCATTTTTACCAACTTGAAGCTTATAATACATTGTGCTCTTGAATCCATCTTTATCAATGATAAGATAAAGCATCCATACAAAGTTCACAGGAAAATAATTCGAACTTCTTAATTAAAATGTTATACTATCTGTATCTAACAGTTATCAAACACTTGATTTTAAATCCATGTAACATAACATGTTAATTTTAAATTGGGTTAATTTTCATGAAAAGCAAACTTATTAAGGGGTGTATTTTTCTGTAAATTTTTTATAATAATCATTATATTAGTCTCCCAACAAAGAAGTCTTAATTGGGATAAAAGAAATGACTAAAACCCTCCTTCCTCTTCCACAGCCCTAAAACTCAGCAATAATAGTCAACGTTTCCTAATCCCTGGGACAGCTAAAAGCACTTAAATTAAAAGCATAATCATGCTATTTTTCCTTTTGTTACACTTTGATTGGTTTGGATATGTCATTCTGATGCAGTGGTTCAATTTTCTAGGTGAAAAAATGCAGGAATTAAACCTTAGTCAAGCCACCACCATGGTAGGTGTTGGGAGAACTTTCTATGAAGTTTGCGGTCCAAGCAAGACAATAATTAAGATTGATCTTTAGAAACGAAAAACGTAAGTGGAATAAAGAGTGAATTGACTCAATCAAAATATATAAAATACACTGTAACTAGCCAATACTCACATGGAAAAATGCAAAACAAAAACATCTGAAAAGGCTAAAATAAGATGATTAATTGGTATGGTATAAATTTGGTCAAACTTCAAAGCAGCCGCAAGTGGAAGGAACTTATCTTAATTTCCTTAGCCTGCAAGGTAATCTCATTTCCCCCTGTTGGTATAAATAGACCAATTTCAACCCACAACTCATCAAGCCAAAATCGGTTAACAGAATCACTAGCAATGGCTTTCCTTTCAGCTGTATTCAGTTGCTTTGTACCTAATTCATCATCTTCATCACGGGTCTCCGATAATGCAGCCGGCGTTGCGTCTAGGAAAGAAGAGCAATCCTCTTCAGCCAAGAGCAGAATTGGATCAAAATCCAAGGGTGCTCCTATTGTGGCATCCTACTTCCCTCTTGGTTCCAATTTGTCACGCTTGTAGTAGGAAGTCTTGCTGCAGGAAAAATGGAAAGTAGCGCTCCTCCCACCTCTTGTTAATTTCTTGTTTCCCTGCAATGATTTCAAAAAACACGTTAGCCCTTGTATTATTAAACCAGTGATGCTGGGTTTGAATCATTTGATACTAGATGCCATCTCTGTGGCCTATTCTTTCCTATTGATGTAGAATATTTCAAATGCTAGTTAGAACTTCCCCTGAATTTCTTGTTTGCGTGTATATCATTTTTTTTTTATAATAAAATTACATTGTGGGAGAGATTTTATTAATAAATAAATAGAGAGATTACATTGTATTTTTATATTATGGCATTAAAGTTTAAACAGAAACATAACTTCCAGTAAAAATAACAGATTTAAATTAAATTCATATCAAATATAAACAATTAAGTGAAAAGTGGCATCATCTACTATTAGAGATTTTGTATGAAATAATGGTGTAATAATATAGAATAAAACAAGATGAATTGAGTTTGCCTTTGATTTTGGATCATATCGTTAGCTTTTGGGTCTCATTTATAGCTACTACCTACTAGCTTCTTAGTTATGCCTAGGGCTTTTGAGGCCCATTCTTCAACAAAAATTGGGCTTGAAGCCTGCATTGAGTTAAATGGGCCATTAGACCCAACTGATACCACAATTCCATTTTCGTAGACGTCCGCACCCATCACGCCATACGCAACCGAGGACAAGAGGAAACAACCTGGGCCTTTGCCTAGTTACTTTCATTCCGATAAAAACAGAGTTTAGTTAGCTGTGAAGTTGCTTTCATTGTCTGTCCAATATGACCAAGACTCTACCCCGTAAATCATACGTTCTCTTCCTAAACAACACAATAGTCAGAGTCATCTCATGGACTTGTCTGATTTTCCATTCCTAGTCAGTTGTCTCCGTAAGTATGTTGAATTCGGGGGTCACATCATAAAATAGTCCGAGTAACACAGTGCCTGTACCTTGTTCCTTATAATTATGATATGATAATCCATCCCACCTAACACTAGCAATTTATAGTTGAAAATGCCAAAAATGTGGACTCGCACCGCCTCTAGAATTTTGTCCTCAAGTTTACTTGTTCTCTTTTTGTCCTATAATCAAAACCTTAACGCGTAATTTAATTCACATGCCCACCTTGACCTCAATTACCCATTCAAACCTATTTGTCTATGCAACAACATTTCTTAGCTTACTACCTTCCTATGTGTTGAATTAAATTATAAAATTTTTTCAAAATAAAGTCTCTTCTAAGAAAGAGTCCAATATTTTATAGTTAAAATCATATTAAATTACTAAATAAAAATTTCTACTAATAATTTATTAATTTAAGTAAAAAAAGTTCATTTTTTTAAAATAAATTTTTGAGTTTAAATCTTATAAATGAAGAAATAAACATTAA